ATAAAAATAGAAAATATAGTAAAAAATAAAATAAATTAATAAAGAAAATGAATTAATTACGCATGGGGGTGTAAATAATGTTAAGGTAGTAAAACTAGGGGGTGCTAATAACATGGGCCTGAATTCAGATATTAAATTCAGGCCCATGAGGAAAGGGGTGTGTGTTTTGCGTGTAGCAGTAAAATGGAGATGTGAGAAGTAGGCCAGGCCCAAGAGGGTTGGGAGTCCGTTAGGCTGGGTATGGTTACGCGCATGGAATTATCGTGGACATGTGCCTTCTAGGGCATGCGATTGAAATCATGCGGCCGTGATTGAGAGCGCGCGGTAAAAACTATGGGACGACATGCACTGGATTAGCGGAGACAATATATTTTACTTTTTTACACAATCATCTTCGTTCATTCTATTATCCTCCACTCTCTGCCTCTCTCTCTCTCTCTCTCTCTCTCTCTCTCTCTCTCTCTCTCTCTCTCTCTCTCTCTCTCTCTCTCTCTCTCTCTCTCTCTCTCTCTCGCCTCACAATACTACAAACCCTAGCGATGAAAACCCTAATATCGTCCCCTTCATGATATACGGTGGCGCTGCCTCAAATCCATCCTTCCTCATCCCAAAACCAACCCCCCCCCCCCCCCCCACACACACACACACACCCCCTAAACACAACCATAATCGTGACAATCAACTAAAAATAAATTTGTAAAGAAAAGCTAAGTTTTAGAGATGGTTTTACCTCTATTTGTGCAATTTGTGTTCATTTTTCGTCTGATCCGGAAATCCCTTCTCCTTCTCTGTTTCACAGGTTCGACGGTGGCGATTCAAATATCTATGAGGCAGCGGCTCAAAGCTCTCAGTGGCAATGATTGAAGAACTCGCGGTGGTGATTGAAGGTGGTGGTAGCGCGATGGAGAATAGATAGATTGACGATGGTGACACGGTGGAACAGATCTAGGGTTTCGGATTTTGAAACCCATATCTCCTCAAGTCAACGCCTCTTCTGCTCCTTCGGTTATGTAACTCTCCTCTGTTCTTTCTTCTGTAATCTTTTTTCTTTAATTTTTCTCCGTCAAAATTCCTCCCCTTTTTTTATAATAGGTTTAAGTATTTATAGTTCTTTGATTTAGATGATTTAGGAAAAAAAATGTAATTATCGTTACTTTGTTGTGATTAGGGATTCAGCAGATTTAATTTTGTATTAGGTTAGTACATATTTGTATAAATTTGATTGCGCTATGATTGTAATTGATACGTTTTTGTTTTGTTTTAAGATTGTAAAGATTTGTTTTTTTATATTGGGTTGTAACGATTTTTTAATAAGGGAAAGATTTGATTCAAACGGTAATTTGTTTTTGATTTTACAAGTGTTATTTTTTGCTTTGATCCAAACAGTACTTGTTTATCAGATTTGGCCCTACAATGTTTGGAAAAAACCTAATTGGAGCGTGGTTGACCTGGTCAACATTTTAATCAAAATAAATAAATATATTTTATTTAATAAATACTATTTAATAATAATGATATAATAAATAAATATCTACATCAGTAATTTAAATAATGAAATGGACTCAAATATAGTCATGGGCTTTGAGTTGGGCATGTGAAAAGGACTTTCATAGTCACTGTTTTTTTAAAATAAAAACTGATAATAATTTTTAATTTAAACTTAATAATAAAATGATTATCATATTTATGTAAAATATAAATACATCTCAAAAAATAAAAGAAAACTGAAGCGGGCCTATTGGTTTTTGATTTTATCTGGGCCTATAATAGTGGCCTCTTTAACCAAAATAATTGCTTAATTTTAAGATAAATAATAATATAAAAATAATTTTGATAAAACAGAATATTTTGAAATAGAGACTTTAAACGGGCCGGATGTTTAGCTATTGGGTCTTGTTTTTCCTGATTTGTAACAAGAAGCATTCTTTTAATCGAATCGGGCCTGTGAAAACAAACCTCCCTTCCTTTTCAAGCCAAGCCTCATTACCCTAATGGACCGGTCCAATTAATTACCCTACCCCTCAAATAATAGCACATCCCTCCTTTGATTATTTGATAGTAGACTTGAATTTTTATATGTGTCATCCATTGATTCAAATATTTTGGGTTTAAGTTAAAATAAGTTGATTATACACCCTTCACCCTAAGTGGACCGTTTAGAAATGGCCCGCGACTTTTTATAGCATGCACATTTCTCTATAAGAATGCCCCCCTCTAAAAAAAATAAAAACTTTAAAGTATCATCATATATTGATGGTTCATTTTGGGTCAATACACCCTCCCTTTGACTTTAAACCTCCCATGAGTACTTAACAAATAATGCTTTATAAAGCAAAAAAAAAAAATTGGAAATTAACGGGATAAAAATCTAGCAGGGTAAATTTAGGGTATGACAATTTGTTGACAAAGGGAGTCACAAATAATGTGTTCAAGAGATTGAAGATGAACATGGATATGGAGAACTTGGAGCATTTGAATTAAGGTGGTGTATTAGAAGTAGATAATAATTCAAATGCATGTAATAGACTACTTGAAGTTGATTGGAGGTTTCAACTTGGAAACAAAATAAGTTGTTTTTCGGGGCGGTAACCGGTTACAGCAAATGGCGTAACCAGTTACATGACAATTTATTTTCTATGTTTTTAGCTGTGGTAACCGGTTACATTGTTTGGTGTAACCGGTTACCAGTCCGAATTTTTGAGTTTTCAACTTATTTGCATTATATTTTTAGGTCTAGTTTGCTTGTATAAATACTTTTTGTGATATAGTGTATAAAATTAATGATAATTTTTCTTCTGACCCTCAATTATTCTTTGTCACTTTCATTCTCTTATTTTCCCACTTTATCATCTCTACAAACACAACACTTTCATTGATTTAATTGAATGTTGCAACAAAACTCCCCATTCTCAAAACTATTAGAGTCATATTCATGCGGGAAAAAAAACATAATACGGAAAAAAGAAGGAAAATTAGAGAACCATTACAATAAAGACCAGGCCCTCTTGAATCATTATAACCCCTTTAATACATGACAGAACTACTACCACTCAAAATTTAATTGGCATAAGAGTTTGATTGTAAATTATAACAAATGAATGAATCATTGAATTTGAAGTGGTACATAAGGGTTTAAAGGTTTGGTCAAAAAATTGTACAAAGTGACCCTTTACTCCTACTTTTCACTTGAATGTAATTAACAAAGTTGAGAAGAACAATTAATAATCGGTCAAACTCATTAAAGAAAAATAATTCACAATACATAATACTTATATTGTTGTTGTTAGAAATTAATTCACCAAGGACAATGTATCTGCTGCTACAATCTGAGTAACCAAAGTTATGATTGAAAAAAAAAATTAGGGATAATAATAAACACGGATAAGATATTATAATATCTATTCTCATATTTGCAGTTCGAGAAAAAATTTGTATTTGAGTTCATATTTATTTTAGTAACAATTATAGTACATGTTCTCTTAGTATGTAAATATCAGTATCCGTCTTTGTTACCAATGTTTTTAATAAAAAAATAAGTATATCAATTATAAAATATTATATCATCTTAAGTTTTTAAAAATATTTAAATATTTTTAAATAATTTATTATTGAATTATGAAATAAAAAAATACTTATATTACAATATAATGGTTTAACATCAATTTATTTTTGAAAATTGAAAAATATCTATTTTAATATGATAACATAAATTAAATTATATAAAAATATATATTGTGTAGGTATGAATGGAGTGGATATTAAAATGCTCATATATACATTCATATCCTTTTATTTAAATAAATATTTGTTGGAACTCGTGCTCGTACTCATCTATACGGGTTTTTGCCCTATCTATTATAAAGTTTTTTGTGGATATTCACTAAAGATAGACCAAATTATCATCTCTACTATAAAAAAAACATTTTCATACGAAATTTTTTGAATTCTTTCAGATAGGTAATGGACATACTCAAAGCCTCCATTAAACACAAAACACTCTTCCCTATCGGTGTTTGATATCTTACATTTTTTAAATTAGAAGTATCAATATGTTCTGGCTTATAGTTTTTAAACTTTTTATAAATTTTAATTTTCTTTTTTTTTAATAAACAATTTATATCTAATAGAATTTAAACTTGAGACCTTGAGATGAACACTTTCGACAAAACTCAAATGTTTTATCACTAAACCACACACATATACACAATAAATTTTAATTTGGTAGAGAAAACTCTTTAATATATTATTAATTAATCATACATGCATGCATGCTCAACTCAATATACAACAATTATCTAATTTAATAAGAGATTATACATTCCAATCATTCATAAATATTACTTTATTAATAATTAAAATAAAAATAAAAATTTAATTTAATTTAAAATCTAACGGTAACGGTGTAGCATTCCAATTAAATTCATTTAATAACTATCATGTGTATGCAACTTTTTTATTTTTCTAAAAATATAATCACGTTGTTTACCTATGCGTGTGGCTTGGTTTTAGTCTTTTCCTTTTGCTTTTGTTTTGGTACACATCACTAAAATTACAAGGACCACGTTGTGGACTAAGATTGTCTATGTTGCATGCTTAAAACACAAGATTTGCACATTGTGATAAAGAAATATATTGAAGTGATAATAAGTATTAAAATTTTATATATAAACAATTGTGAAATTTCGGATCCGAATTCAGATAATAACGATTAATTTTTGTTAATTGAATTAGAATTTACAAACAACGGTGAAATCTCATCCGAGTTTCTATGACATGTTTACCCTTGTGGTAGAATGTTATAATTGGCACATAAACAATTAGGTGAAACATGTTAAAAAAATTCACTAATATTTTGTACTATGTTATTGTTGACACATAAAAAAGAAAAAGATATTATGCTAATATATGTGATGAAAGGAACCAAGATCACTTTTTTTTCTAGCACTTGCTTTGCTTAGTGGGTGAAGTACTTTGGTTTTTCAATTTGAAGAGAAAGAAAAATGCCATGTTCTAAAGAAGAAGCTCTTATTAGACTCTTCTACAATTCATCATCCTCTTTCAAACTTCTCTTCCTTTTCATCTTCTCTTCTTCCACTTTACTTCTCAAAATCCTAAACTTCATTGGTAGCTACACTCTATTCCAAAGGTTCTAAGTTTCTCATTCTTAACTACTATTTTGCTACCATCGTAGTTCATAACTATATACTTACATATAAGTTTTTTTTTTGTAGTGATCAACAATATGAATATGTTTCATCTGAGTATGATTACGAAGAAGAAGAACAAGAACAAGAAGAAGAACAAGAAGAAGTTCGAGAAAGTTATTTTTATGAAGATTCTATTGAGAAAGATCATTTAGTAGCTGATATAATTTGTGGTGGAGAAGCTCTTATGTTTTTGCATAGTAATAACAAATCTCAAAGGAATCACAATTTTTCTATTGAAGAAGAAGAAGAGTTTATAACACCACAAGAAAGCTTGGTTGAAGAGTTTTCAGAAGAAGAAAAAACATCAGAAAGTTTGTATGTTCTTCACAAGTCACCAATTGTTTCAGATTTTGAGACAGAAATTAATGAAACAGAATTTCAAGAAGAAGATGCTGATTCTGTTCCTGATTCTGTTCCAGATTCTGTTCAAGATTCTGTTCATGATTCTGTTCCAATTGAAAACAGGACCACTTCTCACATCACAATGAATCTATACAAAAGTGATGACTTAGTAGAAAGTAACAAAAACTATGATGGTATTAATTTTACATCATATATACCTATATATTGTACAGGGTTTAACATATCGGTCGCGTTGTAGTCTCGTAAAGACTTTTGTGATTTAAATCAGGTGTTGTGATACTAATTGTGGTTGTCACGATGTGAATTAACCACAATTTATTATTTATTATAAGAACGGTGAATAACAGTATCAGTATCGACAATTTCTTATACTATTTTATTACACAGAGATTTTCGCGACGTTGATCGTATATAGTTTGTTACATTTATACTCACGTGCATTTTTTTTGTTTTGTTTCAGAAGAACATGTTATCAAAAACAAGAAAGTGGATGAATCAAATGTTGAAAGAGATGAGAGATTTTGTGTGATTGGTGCAACACATTTGGAGAGGAATAAGAAGTTGATATTTGAAGAAAAAGATGATGAAGAGATATATGGTGATTCATGCACTGTTGGTTCAACATCAAAAAGCTCTTCTGATTGGAGAAGCTCAATTATTTGTAGAGATTCTGGAACTGATGACCCTTTTTCTTCTTCTTCAAGAGGAAGTTGTCCTAAGTGGGAATCTTACACTGTTTTTCAAAAATATGATGAAGAAATGTCTTTCCTAGAAAGAATTAGTGCACAAAAACTTCATGAAACAGGTAACATACACAACTTTGCTATACTTCTTTTGTCCAAATTAATTTCTTCAGCATTGACATGTGTTAGTGTGAAATTCACACGGATATAACATGATACATGCGATATGTTCAATTTATTTATTTTTAAAATTTTTATCAGTGTCTATGTATCCATTCGTGTCTGTGTTCTATTCAATATTTATGTGAATCAATGTTTTGTCAGATATTTATATATCATAGAAATTAATAGGAATGATTTTGTTACACATTATTAGTAGCACTTTTTATAATTCATAGAAATTATTTTATTCTTTATATTAATTCCAGAGTCTTTAAGATCTATCAAAGTAGCTCCGAGATCAATTTCAGAGAGAATTGTGTACAAGTTTTCAAGTATAAACAAAAAACCAGAAGATACAAGTAATCACAACCCATATTGTGAATTGGAAAGTGCTTATGTTGCACAAATTTGCTTAACATGGGAAGCACTTAATTGGAACTACAAGAATTTTCAATCAAAAAGAGCTTCAAATGTTGATGTTGGCTGTCCAGCAACAATTGCACAACAATTTCAACAGTTTCAAGTTTTGTTGCAAAGATATGTTGAGAATGAACCTTATGAGTATGGTAGAAGACCTGAGATTTATGCTAGAATGAGACATTTGGCTCCAAAGTTGCTCCTAGTCCCTGAATATAGAGGTAAAATTACCTTATCATCATTGAAAATATTACTTATTCTCATATTAAATATTAAATGTAATATTTAAATTGTATGTGTTTTTTTTTTAAATGGTTTGAAGTAATTTTTTTTCAAAATGGTTTTTAAAATTGAAATTCTTTAGATGGAGAGTTTTGCTGTCTATCTTGATTCTTCTTATTTCTAAGAGATTAGTGCACACAGAATATTTGATTTCTAATAAAAAATAATTAAATATTAAATTATTAATTTTAAAATATATATATATTAATTTATAATTTCAAATAGAAAGTTTAAAAAATATAAATTTTACTTTCGCCTATTAATAATAATTGTTTATATTGTCCTTAATCATAATAGTTGAATCACTACAAATATTCTAATTAAATTATTATTATTTTAAAAATAATATATTATATTTTATTGGTTGGCAGTGTTAACAACGTATTAAAATTAATTTTATTAATTCATTACTTAGTTTATTAAGTTATACCAATATAATTAATTGAATATTTTAGATAAAATTAGAATAATATTATTAACAAATGTATTTTTCTTTTTTCATTTAATAATTGAGATTAAACGTAATGAGTATACAGTCGATGTAAATTAATTTTAGATCATATCTAATAGAATTATAATATTCAGTTATATCACGTTAATATTTTAAAATTAAAAATATGATTTGGTGAAATATAAATCTCTAGTATAAAAATATTTTACTCTCCATATTCTTTTTCTCTTAATAATTTTTCATTTTTGTATAATGTTTAATGTAATCGGTATACTATGTACTATTGATTTTGACTTTTTTTTGTGCTACTTCTTTATTAAAGATTCAGATGATGATCAGAAGGAGAAGGTTGGGTTTAACTCAAAAATTTCATCAGATTCATTTCTAGTGATAATGGAAGATGGAATCAAAACATTCATGAATTTCTTAAAGGCTGATAAAGAGAGAACATGTCAGATCCTTGCATCTTACTTTCGAAGAAATCGAAGAACCTTGATTGATCCAACATTAATTCGTCTTATGAAGAAAGTTAATCAAAAGGCAAGCTCCTAATTTTATAATCAATATCAACTTTCTCTTAGTTGAATTATTTAATTTTTATAACTCGTATAAGCTTAAATATGAATCAGCGAGTCTTGATCAAATGATCACTGAATGTTCTGAGAGTGTGAATGTGAAGAATTTCTCATAGCTAGTCGGATCAAAGAGGCATGTCTTCTCATTTAAGTTTGTTTTGCAAAAATTCACAAAAAATTCAGATGAGTCAGATATAATTACGGGTGCGGGTCTAAAATTTTGATACACTCTAAAAAAAATAAGGTGTGTGAGGCATAAGAGTCTCACACTCATAAAGATTAAAAATTATAAAAATTATTACTAATGTTCATGCCCCAAAAAAAAAGGAATGGGATAAATATTAGAGAGTGCAGATTTAAAATATGTATTTGTTCAAGTAAAATGGACATCTCTGATGGTTTTGTCACCTATGCATTATAATATGTTTTAATATATTTATTTACTTGCAAGAAACTATAATTTGATTAATGTGTGCAGAAGAAGATGAAAGTTAAGGATCTTAAACGATCTCACAAATGCTTGAGGAAAAGAAATTTAAAGGAGGAAGAAGAGATGGAGATTTTGATGTCATTAATAGACTTAAAAGTGGTGTCAAGGGTTTTAAGAATGAGTGAGATGAATGAAAATCAATTACATTGGTGTGAAGAGAAAATTAGCAAAGTAAAAGTCATTGATGGGAAGCTACAGAGAGATTCCACTCCACTTTTCTTTCCATCACATTGACCCACAAAAAAGAGTATTGATATAAATATTACATAACGAGTGGAAGATGAATGTGCATGGTTGCATGAAAAGGAATATTCATAACATGCTTTTTGTAAATATGAAGTTAAAGAAAAAGGAGAAGGACCCTACAAATCAAAGTGAAGCTCATATGGAATTTATTGGGGTATGAAATTCATGAAAAGATGGGTAAAGTTGAAGAAGTGATGTGTTATGGATGAATATTGAAAGTGGAAAACCAAAGACAAAGCAATGTACAAACAAGATAGAGACAATATTAGCTTTAGTTTTTGCTTTTAGCTTTTATTTATTTATTTTAGGGTTTATATATCTACAAGGGTTTTGAGTTGAAGCACATGGAGTTGAATAAAAGTAGGGTTACACTCTTTTGCATAAAGTAGGTCACATGATAAAGGAATGGTAGGTTTAGTGTTTGTTTTTTTCTTCCTTAATTAATAAGGAAAAGAATAGTTAGTTTTTTTAAAGAGAAAAATAAATATATCAACCTTCAAAGGACCATCTAGATAGATAGGACTTGTTGTAGAGCTACTCATTGAAATTACAATACTTCTTTACTTTCAAAAGGTTTACTCATCATTTATCATTTAGTTTCTTAATTTGAACTTTAAATTTTATAAATTTACTACAATTTAGTTGAGTTTTAATTTGTATATATAGATTACTTGAAGGTTTTTTACACAATTAATTACTGGATAATTATCTCCCCCTCTAATCTCTATTATTTTTAGATTTATTTAATAATCAATATATTTAATTTTAAAAAAATACAATGTTTATTCAATAAATATAAAAAATAAATTTTCTTATATAATAAAGATTAAAGAGTTAAGTTATTAAAAATGATTGATTTTGATTATTAGTATCTGAGAAAATACTTTTTAGTCTAATATGTTTATTTCAAGATTCATTTTGATCTTTTAATTTTAAAAAAATTCATATTGATCTTTCAAAATATTTCACTTTATTTTTTATCTAATTAGTGACGAATTTATTAACTGATTTCTAAATTTTTTGTCGCTAGTTAAATAAAAAGAATTAAAATTAAACATTTTGAAAATTAAAAGATTAATATATACTTTTTTTAATTAAAGGACTAAAAATAAATCTTAAAGTTAACTTACAGAATCAAAAAATATATTTTGCCTAATGACATTCATATGTGACGGATTAAAAATTTAATATATATATATATATATATATATATATATATATATATATATATATATATATATATATATATATATATATATATATATATATATATATATATATATATATATATATATATATATATATATATATATATATATATATATATATATATATATATATATATATATATATATATATATATATATATATATATATATATATATATATATATATATATATATATATATATATATTTATTGATTTCCTCCCTACATATTTTATACAACTTTGACAAAATAATTTAATATTGTAAAAAGTTTTAAGAATGCCTAAACAATATTTTTAGTTTAAAAAAATGCACTCTTAACTTTATTCTCTCATAAATGTTCTCAGGAGATGTTAATTTTCAGCAGACTACAATTTTTTTACCTTTAGAAACTCAATTTAAATTAGAAGGGGAAAAAACCCTTCCCAAAATCAATATAAGTGAATCTATATTTTGATCATCAATTACACTAATCCCTCCTAATAATAAATAATTAAGACATGCTCAAATGAATCGGTTTTCATAAATTTATTTTAGGCTTCAGTTGATATCAATTTTGTATCAGATTGAATGGCAAATGGAAAATCAAGTGATAATTTTCAATTTCATTGACTAATTTATCATTTCATAAATTTAATGAACCAAATTGTCAGAGTATAATTTCAAAACTAAAAGGGTTACGAACTGGTTCATAAAAGAGAATAAAAGTATAAATAAAAAATTAAATATGTTTTTTATTCTTATAAATATTTTAAATTTTATTTTTAATCTCTATTAAAAAAATAATAAATTTTGATACTTAAAAAATTGTTGTACATCTAGTTTTACTTCCTCTTAATTTCTAAAATTTTAAAAATCGTTTAATAACCGTTAAATTTTTAAATAATATTTTTCATACGTGTTTAGAATATTATAAAATATTTTTTTATTAAATTTTAAAATTTTTTAAGATGAGAAGAATTAAATATAATTTTTTTTAATTTTAAAAAATATTGATAAAAATAATGAAAATCAACTTAAAAATCAAATTTTGAATTTCTTTTTTTTCAAAGAATTTTTTATAACATTCTAAACATGTCATACAAAATAATCATTCAAAAATACATATTAATTTAACAACCGAGACTAAAACTACGTACATAATAATTTTATAAAGACTAAAACTTATCATTATTTTAATAAAGACTAAAAATAAAATTTGAGATATTTATAAGAACCAAAACATATTTAACCCTAAAAAAAATAAGAAGCTCAAAGAAGAGGCAAAAACAAATAAAAACTTTTCAATATCCAAAATCTGATACAGAAGATTTTGGAAGGATGATGTATCAAGAAAATATTAATACTTTAGTTTGTCACTTAGATTTTGGAAGGATGATATAACAAGAAAATATTAACACTTTAGTTTTTGTCACTTAGATTTTGGAAGGGTGATATAACAAGAAAATATTAACACTTTAGTTTTTGTCACTTAGTCATTATGTCTTGCCAAACTCCACCCCTGGTTTAGAGGATTCAAAGCTCATGGCTAAATCCAAACAATTCAATAAAAATAATAACCAAGATAATGTCACTGAAAGAAAACTGAATAGAAATAGAAATTTTGAAGATATATCAACAATCCAAACAACCATTAATAATTTAAGAAATAAACGCCCAACTCAGTCTCAGTTAACTTCAGAAGGTTGTGTCTCATTTCATTTCATATCCATACAACCCGGTAAATAGTTCTACTGAAATCCATTTAAAGTTCTGTTTTAGTTTCAATCACAACAAGCAAGTTACCATGAACCTTCAGCACCAACTGTTGGATTCTTGAAGGCCGAGAACTCCCAGTATGTTTTCAAAGAGTATGGTGGAAAAACAGTAGCACCTTCTTCAGTAATTCTAGATATCTGTAAATTCAACACCATAAATGCACTAAATATCACAATGCAATGGATAACACATTCAGTTTAGCTGCATGTTATATTAAGAAGAATAATCCAACAAATAATGAAGGAAACAAAGTCATTAAGTTTAGTTCCTAGCTCCTCCAGTGCCGGTTCATAGTTAACCCGACATAACATATTCAACAAATATAATTTAACACTTGAGCATCAGAATATAAAACTCGCAATAGGTGCAGTCAAGGAAATTGAAACTTTTACGCAGATGCCAAACAAAATGAGGTAGGTACTAGGTACCCAAACATGATCAGTAGACAGAGAAGCATCTGGCAATTCACAAGCACACAACCATCATTAGGTGTAATGTTATTACCATCCATAATAACTACCCATTCCTCAGATTGAGACCACTTAACTGGGTCATAACAAAGTTTTTATAAAAGTATGTAAGTGTATTCATGTTGCACATCTAATAGATCTAACTCCATTTGACACGGCTTACTTTGATTTTAAAAGCTATGTTAAAGTTAAAGTTTAAAAAAAAAGCTTAAGAAATAAAGCTAAAGTTGTTTGATACTGTCATTTTTTAGCTTAAAAGATTTTTTTTTTGAAATAGTTTTAGTTAAATAATGATAAAATAGACAAAATTATCAAAGGTTCTTTATATGACAAAATAGTTTTAGAAATAACTCCGTTTGACACGGCTTACTTGATATGAAAAACTCCTCTCAGCTACTTTATGAAGAGTTCTTTATATCTAGTTTCTATAGATAAAAGATAAGCTCATTTTTAAACATATTGTTTGGCCAATCTTCTATTAAGGAGAAGTCAAAAATAAGTCGGATCAAACATAGCTTAGTATTACAAATCATACATGCTAGACTAGTAAGTAGGTGCAGCCACAAACCAATGGCTCTATGATAGGTAAGTTTTCCTGTCTAAAAGGAGATTGAATTACTACTGAGGATAGATAAGTTTCCTGTCTAACAATCACCAGAGGAGAATCAGTATAAACTGAACCCAAGCTCAAAGCCATTAAAAGTGAAAGATATTACAAACACTCATCCACACAAATCTATGTTGTTAACCTCAAATAGTATTGCATAGCACCGACCCTCTAAAATACTATGGTGGTGTAACAGATAGCGAGATAGCCGCTACTGTAAAGACTAAAATTTAGCGACAAAGTACACATAAATACTCTATTAGAAAAATACACGATTAAAGAGACTGTCATAATTAATAGTTAAAGAATTTAAATTATAGAGCAATAAAACTAAGCAGAGAAGAGGATAACAAAACTGAAATAAAAATAGGAAGAACAAAATGATTGTTAAAGAATAGCAGAACATTACCCTCAACAGGGTTCGAATTGAAATGTGTACCCTCAAATAAAACACCAAAGTTTTAAAAAAAGGATTTGAGAAATTTATCCCAGAAACCCTAATAGCAGGCGCAATAGCAGTTGGGGGCTGCCATTAGCAGCCGCAACAACCGTTCTTGTTGACAGTGGCTTGCAGGCCAAAAGCACCGCAAATTCCAACCACCACTACTCTATAGCGCGCAATTGACAACATAGTGACAAATCAACCTATATAAATCCTAAATAACTATTTGCTTCCTCTCTTTCTCTCAAATAAGAGTCCCTCCATAGGTATTAATTAAGTATTAACAGGTATTAATTAAGTATTAACTCTATCAGTATACACAACCATGGTTGTCAAAATCGGGATCTCAATAAAGATCATTAGGGTATAGAAAAAGCATACATCGTCGTAGGATCGTAACACGGATCTTAAGATCCCAACAAATAGACAAAATTATAGAAATAACTACTTTAACGAAAAATTCTCATTAATTTAATCATCAATAGCAAATATTTGTATCCAAAAAAACATAATAGAAGGTCATTTAAAACATTGTAAGTCCCAAAACCCTAAAATATGTGTGCACAACAGTCAGAAACAGTCAGGGTTAATTATGGGTCAGTTTATGGGCTGATTCCAATTGTTTAATGACCTGGTCGAAACGGGTCTAAAGCGGGTAAAAACAAAAAATGGATCGTTGGGATCTCAAGATCCCACGATTTAAAGATCTTTCTCTAGGAGTTCAACGCTCCAGCCAATCCAAGATCTTTATGCCACTTAAATCGGTGGCCGGTTGCCGGAGCGTAAGATCGTAAGGTTTTGGGAGTTAGAGCTAGATCCCGACAACCATGTCCACAACTTTGGTCTGCAAGAATTCAAGGCCCCAATATTGACATTTAGTAATGTGGTTCCATCACAATGATATCGCTACTGCTACCATCACCATCATCCCTATCATCATTGGATAATCATTTATTGTCTGCCACTAAGGTAAAGCCTTCATTTCTTACGTGGTCAAGATTCTATGCCAAGTTATGTTGATCTGATACAGCCATAATTAAGTACTCTAACTATCTCGAAGGAAGGTAGGAAACATCCTCATTTCTCTGAATACACAAGTTGCTTCTTGTGAGTATAATTCGTGTATTTTCAGTAAAGAAATCTATTAGCTTGTCAACTCTTTCAGCTAAAAGTATATATTAGAGCCATAAGAATGTTGCATACAGATCTAGATAACATGTGATGTGAGTTAGCACAGGAAACAAAAATGCTATCAATTGAACTTCCATAGACATGCTTTCACCTAAACCACATAATTCTTAAGGTATAAAATGTGACTGTTAAAACTTCTAACCAAAAAAGTAATGCAGCTTTCTATTCAGTGACAGCATATAGGGAAAATTAAGAGAACTACAGATAACAATCACCATTCAATTTCAAACAGGTCCATTTCAAGTTCCAGTCACAATCCAAAATAATCAAAATTTAAGCATGATCTTAAGAAATGAATGTAAGATATAGAATTTTGAAATTTAAAAATATTTTCCTAAGTGTAGCACCTGGCCCTCGACCTATGGGCTTGCTAGCTGAACTACTAGCAGAATATAGAAGTGAATATTTCAATTTTTCACATTAATTACATGCTCGTGTAGTACTTTGATATTAAATTAGTATATTTTGATCAGTTGTAAATGGGAAGGAGGAAGAAGAGAACAGAGCTGAGCTGAGCAACACAGCAAGAAACTAAACAGAACAAACCTGAATCTTGTTGACAGCAGATCTATCACGGTATAAGAGCACTCTCATGCATTTTTCAAGTAACCTGACACCTTCTTCAAATGACAAGTTTTCATTCCACTCATCACGAAGAATTGGCCTAGCAAGATGATTTCCAAGCCCAGTTGCCACATGGTTGTCTTCATAATTAATGCCAATCATGTTAACCTGAATAAGATACACAAATACAACAAACAAAAGTCATACATACAGGTACCTCAACTGTTAGACTTAACAACAAGACAAGCAAGACATACCGTGCCAAGGTACTTCTGCCCCTTTTTAATACCACCGAGAACAAGTGAGTTCCACAATGGGTTGAACTTGTTACGCCTATTATACATCACCCGAGTTAAATAGTTGTGCACCTCCTTAGGCCCCAAAGAATTCCCATCATCCCACATGTTATCATTAAGGCTGCAGCAGTCAAAAGCAAAAGTTATACAGGAATATAGAACTTCTGAAACATCAAATTCAAGGGTAAAATACACAGATTGATCTTTTACGGTGTTAAAAAATTACTCACATAAGCTCATCAAGGTAGCGCATAATCTCCTGAAAGTCACTTATTTCCCCACTAGCACCAAGAAGGGAGTGCTTTCCAATAGGCTTCAAACGCTCAACACTCTTGTAACGCAGAGTAGATCCATAAGAACCTACACCATTAATTCATTATATCCATCAATCATCATTGATATTACATACAGAGCGAGACAAATACTTAAACACTTCAAGGAACTTCGCAAAGATGCCATTGTTTAAAATCAGAAGAAAACCCCTAAAAATAAAACCCTAATAAAGAAATTTTCAGGTGAAGTTAATAGAGATTTTGGATCAAACCTCCCATATCAGCAGCCATAAGAATCCCATCTTTGAATTTGATAGCAACTACAGAAGATCCAGTTACATACGGATACCTAAAGATGCGAAATCAAAATTTAGGGCACAGAAAACAAGTAACTCAAATATCAAATTGCTCGTAGTAGAAACCCTAAAATCGAATCGAAATCCGTCGCTTTCGGATACATACAGAGTTCTCTGGCTTTCGGATACGGAATCCATCGCAAGGAGGAAGGAAGATGAATGAGGAGCGTGGTTGAATTGTAGTGACGGCTTAAAACCCAAGATGTGAAAATGAACAAATTATGGAGGAATTACTCGTTACTTTACAACTCCAACCCCCTAAGTTTTTTTAATAACATCTTGCCTCATAAGTCATCATTTTATTCATTATTAAAAAATATTGATTTATTTTTCACTCTCTCTCTCTCCTTCACATATAAAAAAAAATATTTTTTAACCAACAATAAAAAAATTATTATAAAAGTATTTGTAGATTAATTTCCGGAAAAGAACGGGGCAAATATATATATATATATATATATATATATATATATATATATATATATATATATATATATATATATGATTAGGCGGTATGAATTCCCGAAACATGACGGATTTACCAATGAAAAATACATTGTAGATTAATTCCCGAAACAGGACGGGACGATTATCTGCATGACCAAATGATCTCTTTCAGAGACTGAATTCTGACGAGCATCTCCTTCAGGGCTTCGTTATGAAAAGCATTTTTCCTCAGAGATTTTCTAAAAAGCATTCTTCAGACACAGTCAGGCGTAGACTCATTCTGATACTTCTATCAATAGTTACTTTCGATGGCATCTGTAAGTCC